TGGGGCAAAAATAGGTTTAGTCGTGAGTACATGAAACAGTTTATTCTTGTGCGGAAAATAATACAACAGTTAACAATACAAGAATAAACTGTTACATGTACTCAAAACTAAACCTGCATTTGCTCCACCCTGTATGTGAATTCATGCCTGATCGCAGTAGCTTTTTTTTTTTTCCTATTTTAAATATTTAATTATCTCAGTGGCTTTTCTAAAACATCTCTCCTAAGAACTTCCATCCTGAGCTTGCAATCACCAGCTAAGACCTAATGGGCATTGCTCGGTCTTACTTGACTCAAAAGCAACAGTCGTCCTAGCTGGTTTGGCTCAGTGGATGGAGTGTCGGCCTGTGGACTGAAGCGTCACAGGTTCGATTCCAGTCAAGGGCACATGCCCAGGTTGTGGGCTTGATCCCCAGTAGAAAGCATGCAGGAGGCAGCCAATCAAATGATTCTCTCTCATCATTGATGTTTCTCTCTCCCACCTCTCCCTCTCCGAAATCAATAAAAATAAAAATAAAATAAAAACAACAGTCGACTGCTCTTTGTCTTCCTCTCAGGCTTTTTGGTCTCCTTTTTAGGCTCTTTTCTAGCCTGGCTCATGAATGTTCTGCTTTCTTCCCTCAATTCTTATCACTTACTCTTGTAACTCCAATCACCATCTATCTGCTGATGACATCTACGTCTTGAATCAAACGTCTTCCCAGAATGTCAGACTTGCACATCCAGCCAGGTCCTGGACGTTATCTGAATGTGCCATAAGAACTTTAAATGAAACATGAGTCAGCCGTGACCCCTCCTCCCTCTCAACCAATCATTGCATTCTATTCATTTTATTTACATTATAGCTATTGAAGCCACTTTTCTCCCTCTCTCTCCACTGCACCACCCTAGTCCAAGCACCTGAATAACTCATGTACTAAGCTTCCACTTGGTCTCCTGCCTCTCATCTTGCTCTCCTAGTCCATTCTCCACATTATAATCAGAGTGGTCTTCCATAAGCATCTGCTCTTGGCCTTTCCATGGCTCCAGGTTTTCCTCGGAATAAAACTCAAATTCCTTAATTTAACAAGGCCTCAAGCCATCTGCTGTTTCCCCTCTTTTACATTTTATTTTTTCATCTCTCCTAATCTCTGGGCCTTTGCAAAGGCTATTTTATCTGCCTGGAACATTGCTCTCCCTACTATTCCCCCCTCTTCATCTAACTTAGTCTTACTCTCCTCCAGATATTAGCATGGATATCCCACATTTGGAAAGCCTGCCTTCCTCTGCCAAGGTTGAATTGGGGGAGTTCTTGGTAGCAAAGAAGAGAAACTCACTGTGGACAAACTAAGTAGAAGGGGAGTTCACTGGAACTCCACTTAAGAGATCCACCAGGTTTGGAAATGAATGGTGACTAAGAGAAGTTGGATAGAATCAACCAGAGAGAACCTGGCTAAGGCAGTGGTGTAACCACCCCCATCAAACCCTGGAGCTTCCCGGGCCAGTATGCGAATGAATTCTCCAGTGACATCCGGTCCAGGTTCAAAGTCTCAGGGAGAAGTCCGCAGTTAATTGAGCTTGGATCATGTGTCCACCCCTTGCTGCCTTGGTTTTCTTTAGCAAGCAAGGACTGGCCTTCTGGGCCCCTGTTGTGTCAAGACTTACAGTATGGGGGAAAACAAAAAACTTTGTAAGGGATCTGGGTGGATAGTAAAAAATATAGTAATTGTCCACTCTGTACCTCACTTCCCCATGTAGAACTACTGCACTGTGACCACAGCTTACTGCCTGTCTTTCCACTGTACTGAGCAGAGAGTGCCAAGATTGGGAGTGTCTTTCTCATTGGCTGCTCTATTCCCAGTGCCTAGCACAGTATTGGGCACATATCAGAGATCAATAAATAGTTGTTTTTTTTTGCTTAAAATTAGATATTTATTTATTTATTTAGTGTTATAATGCAGCCATCATTTATGTTTCGTTTTCTTATTGTTTAAAGTATTACATATGTCTCCTTTTCCCCAATAGACCCCTCCCCATGCAATAAATAGCTATTGAATGCAACAGTAAGTCCAGGTTTTGTGGAACCTGAATTTGATACAATTGTGGGGAGAAGGTGTGGCTCTTAAAGAATTAGGTTTAGGATCCAGAAAGAGTCCAGTGTAAGAGGATGGCCTTGAAACTTTACTGATCTCATGGTAACTGTGAAAGACTGACCATAGTCGATACACTACATTATAAAAATGTTTGTACCTACCTGCGCCAGTGCTCTAGATGGAAACTAAAAACAGGGTAGTTATCAGTAGGTGCTTGTTGCAGTGACTTAAGATTTTTCATTTGTGGCTGCCCCGGCCTTCCCATTTCCCAATGCTTTCAATTCCATTACAAAGCCCCCAGTTTCCTACATTATGTTAATTTATTCACTTGTGCATTCAAAAGTGAGTGCCTCATCACTGCCAGCCTTGTGCCAGAGGCTGGGACACAGCATGGCTAAGGCAGTGTCTCTCCTCCAAAGGAGTCCACTGGTCAGCAGGGGAGACAGCCAGGAGCAGGTCATGGGGACACTCAGATGTGAGTAAGGTGTCACCTGCGCTGAGAAGAGGAAACATCCTGGGGCAACTGAGACTTCAAGGAAGAGGCACTTTCCCAGCAATCATTCAAGGAAGAGTTTTGTAGGCAGAGCCAGGGACCCAACTGTGCTTTCTCCTGGTTCCACAGAGCTCCATCTCCCTTCTCCTCTATAACGGAAAGACCAGAGTCCGAATGAGGGACATCCTTCACCTTCTGTTGGAGGTGGCTGTGCAGAGCAGCTTCCGATACCAGCTGTGTAGTGGGGCCAGGAGGACAGGGACTTACTCTTTCCCGCTTATCTCACCAGATTTAGAGACAGCCTTCCAAGGGGTGTCCAAGGAAAGCCAGGGCTCTGGCCCAGCAGAAGCTGGCACCAGACTGCCTGCTTCTGTACAGAACTGCCTGCACTGTTCCTGCCATCTGAGCCAGCCCTGTCAGTCACCGGTGACTGACACTATACTTTCCGTCTGGAAGACAGAACAGGCTGGGCACTTAACGTGTTATAGGAGTTCTGGAATCCTATTTCAACCAATGGGACTGAAGTTTTCCCCATCCAACAGGAACTGCATAGCTCCAGCCAATCAGGCTCTATTCTGACCAATCAGGACAGCACCTTTTGGGCCAATCAAACTTCCAGGACTTGGAGTCCTCATTTACATGAGGATGGACAGGGACTTCTGTCCATATAAGCCAGTTCCCTCTGGCTCAGGGAGTGCACTTTGCTTTTCCATTCAGGACTGTGTCTCTTTGGGCTGAACTGAAACACGGAAGATGTCTCGCCAGAGCAGAGCAGATCAGCACAGCATAAAGCAGATTGGCATGGAGCAGAGCAGACCATCAAGGCGCAGAGCTGTGTCGCCGAGAGGGGCCTGGCTATGGGGCCACCTCACAGCCGTGCTGCTTTCGCAGCTGTGCTGTATCACAATTGAGCCATTTTACAATGAATATAGTTTTCTTCTTCACTGACTCAAATTAGGGATTCCTGTTGGCAATGAATTGATGCCAACGACCATCGGTTGACACACATTAACCTGACATGGCCCAATCATGGCTAGTTTTCAATGTTTATGGAGGCCCCCTGATGGGCTTGGTACAAAACCAAACCAAACCAACCAACCAACCAACCAACCAACCCAACCACCCAACCAACCAACCAATCCAACCAACCAACCAACCAACCAACCAACCAAACCAACCAACCATCAACCAAACAACCAAAAAGCACAAGAGTTTACATAGCTTTACATACGTGGGCCTTGACTTACGAGTTATTTGTTCCGAGACTGA